ATGCAAATAACACAGGATTTCAGAACAAGACAACAGGAAATCAACAGTGACTGCAATGTCTTTTGTTTCTTTCAAAATAATTGTCCGTACCTTCACACACAATAGGTTAATACAAATCAAAATAGTATAAAAGCAATCAAAACAAAAGGATGAGGTGCTTTCTGGATTCTAAAGGTCTTGGCACTTCAGAGACTGAAGGGGTCCCAGACAGCACTGCTCCAGTCCCCTCACTGGCCACATGAGAAAACTGAGGCCCAGAGAGGAAGGAGCTTGATTCGAGTGATGGGTGGAGCTAGGAGGCCGCTCTTATTAGGCCATGGCCTCTACTGGCTGTGTGGCCCTTAGTGTATTGCTCAGCCTCTCCGGGCCCAGGACTGGCTGCATGCCCTCCTGATGACCTGGGTGGCAGGGAGGACTCCAAGAAGCCATTGTGGTAGAGTGTCTGCGCCGGGTTAGGTCTCACAGGGACTTCACAGAAGCCTGAGGACAAATAGGCCACCTTGAGGATGAGGCTCAGCAAGTTCAGGAGCCCTCTCCAAGGTCACACAGCTCATTTCATCCCTCAGCTGTGGAATGGCTGGTGTGTGATGAGGCAGCTAGAACATCAGAGTCCAGTGAGCCAGGGCTTGAGGAGACCGCTGCCTGACCCAGCTGTGGCCTCCCACCCCTGCCCCTTAAGGGGAGGGGACTGGGGTGTGCAGGGCAGAAGTATCTCAGAGACAAAGCCATGACTACTGACGCATCGTTCCCGACTTCCAGCAAGCCCATAAGGTAGGCAGGACAGGAATTGCTTGTGCATTTTGCAGAAGCAACTGAGGTCATCTGAGGACCGACCTAAAGTCATACTTCTTATACAGACCTAAGGCTGACTCAGATAGGCATTTACCCACTGAACATTTATTGATTGCCTTCCAGATGCCTGGCACTGCCACATGCACAAAGCAGACACAGCTACCAGCCATGTGATGCTCTCAGACCCTTGGGCAAAGGATCAGAGTTAAGCAGGCCTGAACAATGAAGTGCGAAGTGGCTACAGTGGCATAAAGGAGGCGTCTGGGAGACAGGAGAATCTACACAAGCAGCATGGCAAGGGACATTTCCAGGAATGGAGCCTGAGACTGAGGAGGACAGTGCTGTCACTGCTTGGAGTTTATAGCACAGGGCATAGAGAGGCTTCTGAGCAGGGATGTGGCAGGGCTGTAGGCTTTGGGAAGCTGAGTCTGGTCACACTGTCAGTGCAGTTGCATTACATTATTAGTGCTTCTGTGCTTGTTGAACTCACATTTTTGAATTGAGCAATTTTTCTGGTCAGTGAATTAACAACTTAGAGGAAAACCAAGACTCCCAGAACAGAGGTGACCTCACACATGTGCTCTTGAAATGTGGGGCAGGGATTTAGCAGCATCATTGGGGGTAGAGACATGAGATGAGTTACTTGCAGGGTGGAGCTCTGAGTTCTAACCAACTTGCTATCCTAGGTTCACACTTGCTCCCATCAGCCCCTTTCTGCAACTTTCACTGTGTCTCTCCCAGCCTTTACCAAAGGTGTATGTTTCTGTCTCTTCCTGTTGCATCTTTTGACTTATTCATGTCTTAACCTGCAGGGGAAAAAGTATTCCCTAGTCAGATTTAAAAGGAAAGACCTTTAAAAGACCTGGGACTCCTCACTGTGGCAAATCTGTCAAGCCATGGAAATCACTAATTTGTCTTTTTTCATCACTGTTAGCCCCTAGAGGTCAGGACCATGTTTTCCTGACACCAAGTAGGTTCCCAAAACATAAATCATTGAGTAGATGGGTAGATGGATGAGTGTATAGGTAAGTGAGTCAGCAGGAGATTGGTGCACAGATGGGTGGATGGATGGACAGACAGATGCATGAGTGGATAGATGTATGGATGAGTAGATGCATCAGGAGTGGATGCTTTGACAGTTGAATTAGCATGTAAGTATGTTGGTGAATGCGTGGATGGGTAGATGGATGGATGGATGGATAGATGGACTTATGGATGGGTGGATAGATTCATGGATGGGTGAATATGAGGTTGAAGATTACTGTTCATCTTAATACAATAGTCATTAATATTGACAGTAGCCCATTAATTCATGCCTACTACTGTGATCACAGATATAAATTGCTGCTGGTAATTCTCATAGCTTCTGCCATCAGACACACAATTACCAGGGCCTTTAACCTGGGCTGCAGGTAGCTGGGGGACAGATACAAAACAGCACCTTGAATTTGAAAAGGCCCTTTGCAAAGCCCTCCAGTTCATATAAGGCAATTCAGTTAAGCCTCATAAGAAGCCACTGAGGAAGATTTGCCAGAGTAGGCCTCAGGCATCCTGACTAGGAAGGAGTATGTCTCTCAACTCAGACTGCCTGCTTTCAGGTCCCAGATCCATGACTTCTGGGCCACGTGACCTTGGGCAATGAGTTCATCTTTCTTAGTACTGGTTTGCACATGAGTTCTATGGAAATAACAAGATTATCTATCGCATTCAGTGGTTGTGTGGATTGATGATAATCACAATAATCACTGAGTACTTACCATGTGCTGGGCTTGGTTCTAAGTTTTTATAGGAAGTAACTCATCTGTGAAGTTGATACTAAGAGTGGGCCATTGAGTCAGCCCTTTCTTATGAGGTGGTTGACAAGGGTCCAAAGTCTTAGGGTAAAAAGGTCCCCACTTGCTGATGCCTCCATGCTATGGACCCTTGTGCAAAAAGTCTCCATTCTTAAGAGCTTTATTCTGTTTGCTTGTAAAATGCGTACAATTAGAGGATCCACCTCACAGGACCTGTGTACTCAATAAGATATTGTTTGCTTTTTGTTCATTCCTTTAGCAGCTATTGATTGGACACCTACTAGAAGCTGGGAACTTTCCTAGTCAGAGCAGCACACAAAACATACAAACATTTTGCCTGCACAGAATTTGTCTCCTGAAGGATGACACCGTAGAAATAGTTTGCCCCTTTCCTCCTCCTTCTCCTCCGGCTCCTTTTCATTCTCTTTCTTCCTCCCCCTAACCTCTGTCTGCTGAGGATGGAATCCAGGGCTTTGCACGTGTGAAGCAGGTGCTCTACCACTGAGCTCTGCCCCAGCCACTGATGGATGACACCGTATGCACAGCCTGACACATCATTTGTGCTTCAGAAGTGGAGGGCAGGCTTGGTCTCACCTCACTTGCTCCTAGTTAGAGTCAAATCTCTTGAGCTCTGGGCTGGCACGTGGCAGCATGAACAAACCTGCAAGGATGAGGATGGAAACACCATGCATGCAGGCAATTTATCTAGTATCCGCGTCTCCTCTGAAGGCATTGTGTTCTACTCTGAGAGATCTCTATTGGTCCCAATGTAAAAAGGAAAGGCGGAAACCTTCCTGTGTCCTGAGCAAAGCACCCCTCTGCAAGGCATGCTGGGTCTCTCTTAAGGCTGTAACACCACAACCCATGGCTGGGAAGCCCAGCACTTCAGGCAGAAATACAGTGCATTTGAACATGCATCACCAATCCAGTAAATTAGCAAGTAGCCAATCACCAATCCAGTAAATTAGCAAGTAGCCAGGTGACAGAGGGGAGTAACACTTACTCCATTTTATATATGAAGGGACAAAAACTCCAAAACTGGAGCTGCACACCCAGGGTGGGGCAGCCAGGTTGTAGCATAGTTTAGATTTGAACCCCAATCTCTCTGGTTCCGTATCCTGGGTTTTTAACCATTGCCTAGGACAGCTCACCCACTGCTCAGCACTGGAGGAGAGAGGAGGGGAAAGAGCTGGGCTGGGAGCCAGGGACTGTCCTGATCTGGCTTTTCTGCTTTCTTGCTGTGTGGTTTGGAGGCTCCGCATAGAGAGAATGAAACTAACCTTGAACGTCTTCAGCTCTGAAATGCGTGGAAGGCAAAGGAGAGACCTGGCAGCAGGGGCTGGCCTGGGTGAGCTTCTCCCATCTCCTACCCTTGCTGTCCGTGACTTCTGGGTGGGGCTGGTCTCCGTGCCAGCTGCTGAGGAGCTCAGCAGAGGCCCTTTGTCACCCAACGCTCACAGAGCTCTTGGCCCCTGGTGTTGGGTGTCCAGGTGGATTAAATTCTCTCTTGGCAGTCCCTCAGATGCTGCACTGCTGTGCAGTGGCTGGCGGGCAGGGAGCAGCCTGTGAGCCCTCCTTCTATGCTCTGGCTGGACAGTCAGCTGCTTTCTATGGTGCTGGTCTCTGACGTCCCAGGTGAGGGCACCAAGAGCCCAGTCTGCAATGGGGATCAACCTCTGGGTCAAAGGCATACTCGTCAATGTGTGCAGCTGGCCCCTCTGGCCAGTGTGAGGGCCTTGGATGCTGTGGCTGTGGGCGGAGAGTGACGATACGGGGCTTTTCCACCTCTACTCTTATGGGGTCCCAGTGGGAGGGATGTAGAGTGTGGAGGTGTCGTGGGTGAAAAAACCACCATGGGGCCCAGGATGCATACCTGGAATAGGAGACATGTCCCAGATTTTGTGGACTTGGGACATTTGTACTGTGCATGATGGTGTTTTTGAGGAAAGGGGGTGTGGGCAAAGGTTACATGCCCACAAATGCTACTGGATATGCTGGTGGGAAGGGGGTGCCTGGCACAGTGGTATGAAGTGGGGCTGTGGGCTGGATGGGGTGTCACACAGCACTTGATCTGTGTGTGCTGGAGGTGTGTGGACACCTGAGGAGTGTATTTGGAAGTTAGCATGTTACACAGAATGGGAAAAATTAGAGAGCTGATGTACTGTCAAGGTACCCCAGGCTGTGCCTCAGGGTAGTAAACTTCTGGGGGCCCAGGTGAGTGCTGGTAACTCCAGATTTACAGTGAGGTGAGGTGTTGTGAATATACAGCAGGACATGTGCTATGAGTAGGTGTGAATGAGGTTCATGTCACCTGGGCTGGTATGTGCACACCTGGACCCTAGATATTCCTGAGCACTCATTTCATGATGCCTCCAGTACCTGACCCTATAACCCATGCTGTGTTTGTCCCCACAGGAGCCACCGCCTCTGACCATGTAGATGCCAGCTTTGGGGAGCAGCATGGGCCTCACTGAATGGAGACTCCTGGGTCTGCAGCCTTGAGCCCTTCTGGCCCCTGGACCTTACCACATACTCGGGGACATCCCTGGGAGCTCACCACCACTGTTGCCAGTCCACCTCAGCCACCGCCTCCCCCTGGGACTGGCAGTGGGCCACCAGGAGCTGCAGCCATCCAGTGAGGGTGTGCCAAGGACACCACACACGCCATCGCCCAGCAGTGTGGGTGCTGCCCCTCAGGCCCACCCCAAGCAAAGGTTCCAGCAAACATGGGTGATATGACCAACAGTGACTTTTACTCCAAAAACCAAAGAAATGAGTCGAGCCATGGGGGCGACTTTGGGTGCACAATGGAGGAGCTCCGCTCCCTCATGGAGCTGAGGGGCACAGAGGCAGTGGTCAAGATCAAGGAGACATATGGGGACACTGAAGCCATCTGCCAGCGTCTCAGGACCTCACCTGTGGAAGGTAAGTGTGAGATACTTAAACCTGGGGCTTCAGCCCTGGAAGCTACTGTTTGGGGTGGCCCCAGGGCCATATTCTTAACACTTACTAGCAGGCAGATCTCAGAAGTGACTTAGTGTCAGAGTCATCTTTCCAGTGTGTTTTAGCTGAGTGTCAGCCCCTTCAGAGACAGCAGGAAGCAGAGCCTCACCAAGGGTAAAAGTCTGACCCAAGCCACCTAGAGAGCTGAGTTAAGGACCACGTCAGCCTGAAGGGCACCTCACAGCACCATGGGATGTGGGGGCTTCCTTATCCTGGGAACCACAAACATCCGGTCCTCAGGGCATAAACAAAAGGGTAAGTGGAGAGGACTCAAGTGAAGCCATGCCATTCCTGCATCTATGCCCGGGGTGGGGAAAGGATTCCCATTTTCCCAGCTCAGCCCCCAGCGGTCCCATTTAGGCATCCAGTGTCCCAGTCACTGTCTCTGCCAGTAGCTCCCTCGTCTGGGCTTGGGTGTGCAACACAGACTGCAGCCAACTCTACTGTCCATGCAAGTCCTGCCACCAAACTGCAGGTGTCCCCTATTCCAGGCTCTGGTCAGGGACTGTGGGGCTCTGGGGACAGTCGGGGGCTATTGGGCACATAGGCTGAGTGAGCTGTGACAGGTAGAGTGACACATGTCCTTGTTTGTCCTTCCCTAGGATGGGAGTGGGGGTTTCTTGCAATTGCCAAAATAACCTGAAATTCCAGAGAGAGAGCTTTCAGTTCCTGGGACTTCCCTGGAAGGGACCCAAGGGTGGGCATCTGTTAAGGAAAGAGAGGAGAAGCCAGTCCAGCTCAGGCATGGGTGCTCAGCATACAGGTTCCTATCCACACTCTCACCTGCCACGAATTCGCATCCTGGCCAGGTTGAGGAAGTGGTCCCTACACAAACCCAAAATGCCTGGCTCTGCCCAACTCTCCTCAGTGCTGTTGCTGTGCAAAGGCTGCCTGGAGCAGTGAGGACAGCACCTACTGCTCTGTACTTGGTGTGGGACTGCAATGCTCAGTAAGAGGCAAACACGATTCTTCCAACAAGCAGGGTGCAGGTCCTGCGCCAAGTATAGACCACAGCCGAGAGGGCAGGCAACACCTGCCCTGAAGAAATCTGCCTCCCTCCTGCACTGCCCATCCCTGCAGAGGCTGCACGCTAGGCCACACACAGTCTAGGGTCACGCGTGCCTGCACCCTGGGTGCTCAGCATCTCCTGGTGTCTGCAGTGTGCTCCCTCTGGTCAAGAGAGCAAGCTAAAATCTAGTGCCTACTGTCACTGACACTTTGTCCATAGGCTGAGCTCAGGCAGTTTAGAAGCATTATGTGGAAAACAGGACTTAGTTTTCACATCTGTAAACTGGAAAAATAATGACATCCCAGATTGTCACTCTGCCCCCACCAGCCACCTAGCTGTGGGCCTCAGGGTCTTGTATCTCACCTCTCCAGGTCTAGAGTCCCACCTCCTGAGGGCCGGCGAGACATCTGAGCAGAGTAGCCTCTGAGAAGGCAGTGGTAGTGGGCATGCCTGCTGCTATAGACTCCGCAGAGATGCCCATGGACAGGCAGGGATGTGCAGAAGGGGGAATGGCACAGGTCCCAGACTCAAGTGACCTGGGCTTCAATCCCAGCTCAGCTGCTCCCAGCCCTGGGGCTCTGGACTGAGGCTCAGCCTCCCTGGGTACCTTCTCCTCTGTAAAGCACTGGTGATCATAGCGAAGACTATCTAGGGTTGTGACCAAAGTGGCATAGGACAGTCAGACAAAAGCGGCTCTGTGTGTTAGGTGCAACCCCAGAAACCAAACACCTCCATTTCCCCATCCATGAAGTGGGTTGTGCACATGAGTGTGATGAGGCCAAGTGCCCAGGACTATGCCCTGAGTGATGGCAGCTCTCGCTGCTGCTTCCCTTATGAGTACCAATGACTGCGGAAGCACTACCTTCTCTGGAAGTGGTGGACTGTGACTCTTCCAGACGCCTGACCCTCGCCCTCATGTCAGCAAGCTTTGACTAGATTTCTTCCATGTCCCTCGTCACAGGAGCACCTCCAGGAGCTGTGACCTCACCTTATAGATGAGGGGCACACAGCTCCCAGTCTCCACCTCAGAGTCAGAGCAGGCTTTCAGCCCCACAAAACACCACATCTGAATATGCCCTAGCCCTGGGCCAAGTGTCCCCATGGGAACAGTCCTCTGTGGGGTCCACTGTTCAGCAATGTCTGGGGAAGGAGGGACCATAGAGCACTGTCTCCATCTGTGTCCTGTTGTTTGTTCTGCCCCAGGAGGCCTCTCACAGTTAAAGAAATGCCACACCTCCAGCCCCAGTTTAAAATGGAGGGTGTCAGATGGCTCCCCCTGCTGCAGCCTGTCACTGCTGAGTCCCACTGCAGGAAAGTGCTCGGCCTGCTTACAGTAGTCTGCCCTTGGTGTCCAGCTACATTTAGGCAGAAAAATCTGTTGGCCACTGTTGGGCTCTGCAGCCACGAGGAGTCAGATCCCACATGTGGCTCTGCCTGCTGCCAACAAAGGACACAGGCTCAGCTCCCGTGGCCCAGTAATGTCAGCCTCCTCTGGAGGCCTGACTCGGTGAACCGTGTTGGGTAGCCCTGGCCACGAGTGAGGCCAGGGGCAGCCTCTGTCTATTTTGAGCACTGTTCCTTTCCCATCCACTGTGGTGCTGCTTCCCTCTTCTCTGCCTCTTCCCTTCCTCACTGCCAGCCTCAGGCTGTAGTTTCAGTCTTGAGTGGCTTTCTCTTCAAGGGACACTGAGATAGCTAAAGCCAGTCTTCTGCTCTCACCTGACTTCTCTGTGAAATGGGGATCATCACAGTATCCACCTTGCAGGGGTGTCCTGAAGATCACCTCCAGTACAGCACAGTGCCAGGCTTACAGGTAATGTTTATCTTTGGTGTTACCACACTTAGGTGTTTCTTTCAAAAACAGCCAGCATGAGCCAGACCCTTTGAAAGAGGCAGTCAGATAAGACAGTGCCCAGGGAGGAGTTAGCAGCTGTCAGAGAAGGAAGAGAGGCAAGTGGCCAGAGCTGGGGAGTCCTTGCGGCCTGGGGTCAGTAGCTGAGCGTCTTTCACTGCAGTGTCCTCTCATCTGGGGCAGTGCCCAGCAGCTTCAGCAGTATTCAAGGAAATGAGAGACAGAGGGTGCTCTGGTGCCCCTCCCACACTGTACGGAAGCTTCAGGCCTGGGGGTAGGACACAAGACACTGAGTTTTGCCCATGGGACAGCCCAGCGAGGCACTACAATGAGCCACACATGGCTTGTGGGGCCCTCAGGCTTCACTTGCTGACATCCACATCTTGGGCCGTGACCAAGATGCACCATCCACCACCGCAGGAGGACTGTGGGGAGTGTGAGGAGACAGAGCCAGCAGCAGCAGCAGGTTGGAACTGGATCCCAGAGTGAGATGAAATGGAACCTCTGCTTAATTTTGTATGAATCCCACAACCTGCCCAGAAGGAGAGAGGCTCAAGGAACTCAGAAAGCAGATGGTAGGGATGGGGGCTCAGCAATACCTGCAAAGACGACGTGGAAGACGCCTGTCCCTGGGGCCAGGCAGGACTGCACCTCCACAAACCACTTGCAACTTGGCCCAGGAGGGGTGCAGGGCATGAGTGGCGGGTTCGTGCTCTGTCTGCCCCAGGTTCATAGGGCACCCGAGGGATCAGAGGAGAAACTGCTGCAGCCATCAACTCCACACTGTTCCAAGCAGAGTGAGACTGGGGCAGACTCGGCTGCAGCATTCGTGTGGGCCAGAGACAGAGGACAGAGGGAAACACGTCCACTTCAAAGGCTAAGCACAGGTGGCTGCCTCCTTATGAAAGCATAGCAGAGGACAAGGGGAGCCGGTGAGGTGCTGGCCAGCCGGCCAGCACAGCTTCCTCATCGCAGAAGTGGGAACTGTGCTACTCTCGCTCCCTGGTGTGTGGCAACAGTGAGCTGAAAGTGTTTTGAAAGTTTTCTAGAAAAGCGTCACCTTCTAGGCCTGCATGGTGGCGCGCACATGCTGTGGGGAAGCTGAGGCAGAAGTTAAAGCCCAGCCTGGGAAATGGAGTGAGTTAGTGAGATATCTCAAAATAAAAAATAAAGGGCTGGGGGTGTAGCTCAGTGCCGAGGCCCTGGGTTCAATCTTCAGTTCCAAAAGTAAGTTAAGCAAATAAATAAATAAGTTCGAGCATTTGCTGCATATTTCTGTCCACTAGTGTTCTACTGAATAGAAATGCCTATAAAGCTAACTTGCACATAAAGGGATTTCCTGGCTGTGCAAGTGGAAAATCCAGGGAGAAGCCAGCCTCAGGCACAGGACCTGGGACCTCCAGTGCTGTCAGGAGAACTTTGTCCAGCCCTGTCCTGTTAGGCTTCGCCTCTGATGTCCTCTTTCTCGGCTTCATCCTCAGGCAGGCACTCAGCATGTGGGAACCCCAACAGCTGCAGGCTCACTTCATTCCCTCCCAACCTCACTAATGGCACAAGGCACCTCTTTCTTGGTAGGCCCCTCCCTTAAATCCCAGTGAGATTCTCATTGGGCCTCCCAGAGTCACATAGGTGCTCCTGAGCCCATCCTGTGGCTGGGGAACGGAAAAGACTGACAGTTCAGCCCCCTTACAGGGGTGGGCCAGCCACCACCGGAGCACATCTGACTGGAGGTGGGACCTGCAGTGGAAACCACGTGCCTACTGTGTGCTGGGGAGGGTGAGCATCGTGACCCCTTGCTCCTGAGGTGCTCAGCTTATAGGGGAAGAGAAGTAAGGAGGTGGCTAAGTCATGGGGCAAGGCTCAGAGCACCACGGAGCACATGGCTGTGGATTTCCAGCCAGCCCACGACATGGCTGATAATTTCGCAGGACGTTCCACACAATGAGACTGCTGGCTTCCCAAGCTGACTCTGGCCACAGGAGCCGACTCGACTGCATGGTCTGAATACTGACGCTCCTTCTCATCCGGCTGTCCCTGATTTCTAACGTCCCCATGCCTCAG